AAAACACTTGAGACTGCAATAACACTCGAATAAATTAGAAATTCAAAAAATTCCATTTTAGGTTCATAAACAATTTATTGCCATTCCAGCATGCCGAATTTCTCCGCAGTTGCATTATGCTACTACAGAGCAGCCGCGTGGCATTTTTCTTCCAATAAGTTTAACAATTAATAATTCTCAAACTAATTATCGAATCTTAATATTTTATTACATAGCAAATCATCCTTATATACTTATCTACACATCTTACTAATTTCAAATTTCTAAGTGTTACAGTTTTTGCACTTCAAAACAAAATGTGATTTTAAGTTGAACACGTAAAACAGCTGTGGCGAAGGCGGCTATTACAAATTTTTAACATATAGAGATTCTTTCACTTATTTTTGCTTATCCTTTACTTATTTATTTGCAGTCTTTCATTCGTCCATCATTTAATTTGCTGATTGAGCAGTGGGTCTATAGGAAATCTGTCCATAATTACATGTCCTATGGCGAAACAGGTATTTTCTTAAGCGGATTCTTCATTGTACTTGTTGCGGGCATATTGTGTGCTACTCCAGAGTTCGGTTGGGAATATGTGTTTTATTTTACTGGTGAGCTTGAAATTTGTTATCCTATTTTTTTTCCACCCTATTATTACTGTCTGTTATTTATTTTTCTACTCAGGTCACACGGAAATATACTACACAAAAGTTGTTACAGAGCAAATCACAATTTATTAACACTAGGTTAACGGACGTTTCTTATATACGTATCTCTACGAACACCTGTCAATTTGACGCATGAACCAATACATCACAAGGTTTACGGACGTTTCTTATATACCTATCTCTACGAGCACGCGTCAATTTGACATATGAAAGAATACATACGAGTATAATTGTGATTCTTAATTTAATAAATTCAATTTAGTAGATTTTTATCCACCACTATTTCTAAATAATTCGTAGACTTATATAATTCACCACTTCATATATTCATAATTTACTTAGTTATTTACCATTTTTTTAATTATTTTGGCAGTTAGTATCTCTGCACTTAGAAAACAATGTAATTGTATACTGTAAGAGAAAAATGAAGATATGAGATTTATATTTATGAAATATTCTAGTACTTTATGTTACAATAATCGAATTAAGCAACTGAAACCTTCAAAATCTGACACTCTGACATCAATTGACATTCTGCGTTTGTTCTTTCTATTATTGCTTATCGGCAACAGTTGTTTATCGCTTGTTTTATTTGAGATAACGATACCGGATAACGAATCGAAGTATTGTCGGTACATTGCCAGTTTACTCAAAATTTTGTCTAAATTATGATAGCGTCAAACCAACGCCTCCTATATCTGAAAGCCTCCACACGGTTTTTTATAGGTAGTCCGATCAGACCACTGTGAAGGATATCCACTTTCCGAACGAGTCATTTAATACAAAATCTAGTTAAAATAAGAAAGTGGTAGCAAATATGTGACTAAAAATTTGTTTTATTTATGAATATTATTCCTTTGCCTTATTCACTTGTCAACCACTACAGATTCAATTCTCAAATATATATGATAAATTTCTCTCAATTTCATTTATAAAAGGTTTTGGGCACATGCGCACAACTGGTTCACTTTTTAAATAGTCTGCTCGGACTACTTATAAGAGACCGTGTGGAGGCTTTTTGATGTAGGAGGTGATGGTCAAACTGACGCATACCCGTAGAGATAGGTATATACCACATAGAGAATTTCAATATTTCAACGCTTTTGAAGAAAGTCGCCTTCAATATATATTTACTTCGATCAATGGTTAAAAGTCATTACAAGAGATAAAATAAAAATTCAAACGGATTTTATAATTTTCCTTGCAAAATTCGAAATGCCTCAAAATGACGCGTCCCGTAAACCTAGTGTTAGCTAAAAAAAAACAGATGTGTTAGATGTCACATTAATGCAATTTTGCCAATTGGCTTAGATAGTTTGAAAAGCTTTGGTAACGGAATTCTACTGCGTGTTTAGACCACACACCTATAAAAATTCTGAAGAAGAATGCTCGAGTTTGATCGTGATTGCTTTCTTCAACGCGTGCAAGACGTGATTCTGTATACATTTCAGATACTGTATTTGCTGATACATGCGATGTTCTGATCGTTCCGCATTGATACTTTTGGCCACAATCTCCAATCTATTGCTGAACTTGGTCCACTAGTGGTCAACGGTACGCTTTGAGAGTGCTTTTTTGCTGCTCGCCATTACCATGCAGCCATGGTTCACATTACCATGTATCTCTCCCATCCATTGGATCAACTCTGTCCAACGTTGAGCGTTACATTCTGTTATTAATGTCTACTCTAAGGTGTTCAAACGGGCTGAATTACTGGTACCGAATGGATGGGTGCTGTCTTTTGTAGACAGGACCATTTATGCATTTTGTGCTGCTCGGAGCTGATTCTGTCTATTTAATTGGTTTTCTCTGCTACAGAGTATACAGGGTGTCCCGAAACGACAGCATAAACTCCGCACAGCTAGATTCCTCTTAGATTCCTGCCGGTGCAAGAAAAAACGCTTTATTGAACATATCAACAGCAGTATACAATGCACAATTTAAATCAAGTGTTCAAAGTGTCCGTTTTAAACATTATCGTCTGGAAAGATATGTAAGCACTGTTGCTGATATATCCAATAAAGTGTTTTTTTTTCTTTTCTTGCACCGGCTGTGACGTCATACTTTGTTTTTCGTATTTTTCTCGTAAACTATGGATCGTACAGGAACGCTTCTTTGGGCAGTTTTTATGTACTCCCAACGAGGAATTTAGCTGTGCAGAGTTTATGCGGTAGTTTCGGGACACCCTGTATACTGGTATGAGACATATATGGAAACATATCTATACCATCTCAATGCGAGGAATGTTTCTTTTTGCAGCAAATGTTTGTCTAAAGATTTTACAAAACAAAACTGTTGGCTTAGTTGGAAAAATCAAGCTTGAAGCTTATAGAAATGTCATTTTCACCCATGCAAGATTCGGATTGACCAAAATGAGCGAAAAAAGTCACGTCCTTCGAGCTTTAATTCCAGAAATTTTATATTATTTCAACGTAATTGCGATAGTTATACGAGTATAATATTAGAATGTGTTTTTTAATTGTAGTGATATTGAAAAAGAAAAGGAGGTTTAACTTATGATCATTTGGTTGATCCGAATTTCGCTTTGAAATGTGCCGCCAATTTTGCCACTTTAAATTTTCCTATACGTTTGCTGCTAAATGAAAGATCGGTTACATAGAGATAGTATAGAAGTTTTTCCATAATTTTGTCCAACCTCTGTCGTCTCATTATGAGATTCGTTGTATCGAGCTAGTTTAAAGAGTGCGCCAAAAATATTGTTTTTTTTTTTCACTGTCACTACAGTATGATGTAAAAGCTCTCATATTTCAATTTTTAAAAAAGTAAAGAAAAAATATTTTAATTTTTAAAGATATCTTTTGTTGAAACTTAAAAATTATTATTCAATTTTGTTGCATCTGTAATAGTTTGATCCTTATACCAAATAAGAAACTTATAGGATTAATTCCATATTTTGCTGTATTTTTACACAGGCAGTATGGGAGTAATCTGGTGTATGGTATGGTTCTATTTCGTCAGTGAGTACTGCTTTCCGACATCATTCGTCTTTGGTAGTGAGCCGGAAAGGAAAAAAAAATTGCAGGTAATCAATTAAAAAAAACTTAATTCTCTCCCTATATAAAAAACAAATGTCTATATGTATATTCTGTAATAATTTGATAACGTGAGCACCAATTCGGATCGTGTTTTTTTTCTACAGTTTGCAAATTTTCACGGGGTGGTATGTAAACAATCTCCACTTTCTGGTGTTATTTACTGCAGTCTCAATATCGAAAATTCGATAATAGTTGAAGATTGAACTTTTTCTTGTATCTTTATAATGACTTCCCTGATTGGCATGGCATTTTTTGTTGCAGATTGATCATGTTTTTTAATCTTTTTTGCGATGTTCTTCATCCTACGTTAAGTTGTTTGCATGCGATATTGAAAAATATGTTTTTTTAGTTGTTTTAGCATTTCATTGTAATGGAAACTAAAGTCTTAGATTACCTTCTAGGGTTTTGATGGAAACAGCATCGTTACAAAACGTTTAAAAAATAAAAGCAGACGAATCTCGTGCAAAAGAAAATATCAAATAAAAATTTGCTAATTTCAAATTTTAAATCTTGAAGTAAGAACACGTGCTGGAAAGAAATAACTAACCTAGGTTACATAAGTTAGCAGAGGCTAACATAAAAATATCAAAAATTAACGATATACTATATTTAATCTTCACGAGCAATTTTAATTGGGTATAATATGAAAAAAACACAACTACTTCGATTTAGTAGGAACAACATATGACGCAATGCTAAACGAATGGAATTTAGTTGTTGTTTATTTAGTTATTGTTATTATTAGTTGTTGTTATTTGTTTTAGTTGTTGTTGTTTATTTAGTTGTATTTAGTTTCAATAACTTTTCTTTATAATGCAATAAAATCTGGCGAGCAGCTATTTAAACGATCGAACACTTCGTTTGTTTATTTGTGGCTTGAAGTTAGGCTCGCAGAAAATGCCGTTCATGGGTTAAATTTAGTAGGAACAACACAACCTGTGACGTAGGCTATATTATACCCAATTAAACATAAATCTATGCTTATTCTTGCTCATTCGAAGTATCCTTAATTGCTTATCCTTATTTGTCCAAGATATTTGAAATTATTAAACTCTAATACTGAAACTTATTATTGCTAAATATTAATAATAATCATTGTTTTTTAGGATGGATTCTAGAATAGCCCACCCCATGGCGATTTTTTTAAATCTCGCCGAGCAAGTGTTTTGAAATTTCGCCAAACTAGGTTTCCGTAAGATATATCGGATAGATTATTTTGAACGCCTGATCACACCACGAGCTCATCACCAAAATTCTTAAACCTGTTTGGTTATTTGATATACATGCATACGTGAAAGTTGAATTTCGTTAGAAAAGAGGAAAAAGAGTTTATTTTTTGTCCATTTATGCTTCTGATCTCTTGCTGCTAAAATCATCGTTATTATTTTATTTTTTAATCATTATTTCATTTATTACTGTTTTTATTTCTTTTTTTAATTTATTTTTTGTGCTTTACCGGTTGAAAATGGCGATTTTGAAATAAAATAATTCAATACCGTTGCCATACCGTTGGAATACCGCCTTTTTTTTAATAATCAAAAAATCAACGTTGATCCCAGTAATAATCGCCAACCTGGTAAGATTTCAACAGGTCGTCAAGAGGTGGGCTATTCAAGGATTTTTCCTTTTTTTGACATCTTATTTAAATACAAAGGTACTTTTCCATTATACCAACGCAAATCTCGCCAAGCAGACTTTTTGGTGATAGCACACAGTCGCCAGAACAAATCACACAAAGTAAACGTTATATGCTGCAACACACAGCATACACATAAAAAGCAGTTTATAAATGGTTCAAAAATTTTTTTACGTCGGAGGCATAATATTGCTTAAAATTTTTTCAAATGGGTCTTCCGTTTTCCCTCTCCACATTAATTCCGCAAAATAACTTTCGAGATGATGGCTTGTCGTTCCTCTGTGTCTTTTATTTCGCCATTTTGCTCTGCCCTACAGTCTCTCTATTTTCAGCGTGTGTGTTCCAGTTTCCGGATTGACAAAGTTGTATTTATGGTTCACTTTGAAATGTTCGAAACTTTCATCTTCCAGCTTACTAGTGCAGTATGACTTCCGTGACTCGGAATATGTTATAGTTTCTTTTCAGATATTTTCCTTAATTGCCTTGAAAGTGTTAGAGGATTGGTTTGGCACCTCCACAAAGAAACATTCGTTTGTTTCTCGGCAAACTCCACCGAAGATCCATTGTTGTGGTAGAATCCATCCCGCATTGTTTTTTCGCTTCGTAAACAAACTTTTATCCACTTCGACGATCATGCCAGGTCCTCCTACTTTCCGTTGCTCATGTTTAAGCAAATAATTCACACAAATCTCAAGCATGAAGTTATTCCAGTCTACAACTGTTCAGTGACTGATTTCCAACTGCTTTTCACACCATTTAACTGAAGTTAATTCTTAGCTGCAACAATAAATAAACCGCACACACTTTAAAAAGCTCATTTTTGATGACTGAAACCATGTGCCTTTACAGATACATCTTTTGTAGCGATAAGATGAAAGGTTGCAGCTCCATTGAATTTCATCTCCGATGTACTATTTCATTTCATGATTCTTATCACAAGTTGCGATTTCAGCAAAAACGCCTTTTGCTTGAAAGAATCTGACCGATTCTTCCGCTGTTTTGGGCAAATCCCAAATTTACATTGCTTTTTGCATTAAATTTTCCTATAAAGAAAAAGATGTGACCGATAAAAAAATGGCCACGACTTGCTTTGAAAATGTGGAGACAAAAGGTTACTAGCGGCGATATTCAGTTTGGCATTGGTTGCACCATTATTGGCGCCTTTATCGCCTGCGCCGGTTTAATGGAAAAGTATCGACAAATGCTTAACTCAACTATTAAAAGTAAATAGTTATACGTAATATTTTTGGGGGCTGAGTCAACCAGAAAATTTCTGAGCTTTTATCATCACTGATTGAATTATGTTACAGAAGCAGTGCTTTTTAAGCAGAGAAACATCTCCTAAAATATATTATATTTCACTAGATGAAAAGCGCTCAAAAGACTTCATATAGTGATACTAATCAGTAAAAAGGAATTTCTTATTTTATATTTGAGAAGGGTTAAAAATGTTGTTTACGAACAGTCATAATGGAACAACTTGCTTAGTAAAATAAGTATCAATCTGAACTGGGGTAGCCCAATGGTTTGAGCATCAGAGTTTGCAACGGAGGAGCTGAGGTGTGATCCTCGACTCTAAAACCCACTGAGTATATGCTATTTACGTGCTCGTAAAATCTGTGGAATCAAAAGGCCTGTAGTCGGTCACTCAGTAATACCATGGGTACAGGGATCTGGAAAATTTTCCTTTCCCTTTCAGATCCATTTCTAAATTGAGAAAGTGACGTTACAAATAAATAGTGCTACCATCTATCTGGAGCATTTTGAACTAAATCACGCTCTCACCCTATGCTCTCTAGTCAAACAAACGTAAGGTATGTCCTCCTGAATTAATTTTCAAAAGAACAATGGCTGGAGAGCTTCACTTGTCCACGTGTCATTCAAAACACCAAGTAACAATGCTTGTAAGAAATTAGTTGAATGTTATGGTATTTTCCCCTACTTGTTTAATTTTTAACACTGGATTGCTTGAAACTCAGGTTGTTTTTCGTAAAATTGTAGAAAACTGTTAATATTGTCAATTTGTTTTTAGCGCAAAAAAGTTCCCTGGTCTGGTATTTTAACATCTACTAGCATTTTGGCTTATGTTTTGGTTGGAATGGCATACTATTCGGCATTCAGTTTTAATGTTCTTTTGTACCCATTGTACCTAAAATCAGTATTTGGTGCCACGTCAGAATGGGTAAGAGTTTTCATTATTTTATAATTATTTTTTTTTAAATTTTCTCTATTGTAAGAGTTTTAAAAAAAGTAAATGATTAAATTTTATGAAAACAATAATTTATTTTCTCACATATTTAAAAGAATATAGTACTAAAATATTCGGTTAAAATTTCGAAGCAAGTAAGAAATTATACCGCTTGTTATAATTAACAACTGCTTGAGTTAGAATTAAAAAATTTTCAAATACGTGTCGTTGTAAAATCGAAAAAAAAACATACTAATAACTTAAGTCTCTTGAAAGTGTTTGCCTTTTTTGTAAACATTAAGATTATGACTAACTTTTGCTGTAAGTCATAATTTTTGTTCTTTTTAGTGCCGGTCTATATGTTTTCGTTATTTAGTTTTATTAATACATTTCTCTCTTAACACTTTTAAATATGCTATTTCTGAGTGAAAGGGAACATGTACCAATTTAAAAAAAACATCTTTTTACAGAGCTATTTTGCATTAACTATTTAGCAGATCTTATATTTTCTATAAATAAGCACTTACTATTTTACATAATGTCTTTGTTCAACGTTGTTCAGTGGTTCTAGAGGTAATTCTTTTGAACTCTAAAAATAGGGAACACGAGTTTTTTTTTATAACATTCGTTTTATTTTTATTTTTTACATAACTTTCAACTTTAATCCATCATTAAAACACAGGATTGATCTCAAATACATATCCAAATAATCGAATTGTCCAATAATCATTTCAAATTAAAAGAAAAAAAATAGTAGTTTAAAAAAATTCTCAACTGAAAGTGTTAACTCCACTTGAATTAGTAATATTTCATCGATGTCTCCAAAACGCTAGAAAATAGCAGAAAAATAAAATTAATGAAAAAAATATACATCACCCAATTTATAAGTAAATGTTTATTAAATTGGTACATTTACGCAGCTTTGCCGAAAATGGGTTAAAAACACACTAAGCATACAATTTGTAAAAATGTAGAAAATTAATTTTTTTTTCATACTTATATTTTAGATCACTATAGCAGCTGCAGTACCAAATCTTCTTGCTGTATATTTATTTGTTATAGCTACGTTTATTTCAGAACGTTTTGTGCAAAGTCAAGTGTTCGAGAAAGTAACTGTTCGAAAATGTTGTGTTATTTTAGGTAATGAATCTTCTCATTTTCATAATTAAAAACATGAATTAATACAGATAAAAGCTGTTTAGTTCATTTCTCGCCAAGTATTTCAGACTTCTAGTACTTCCTTAGTAGCGAGCTACCAATTTTTTAAAATTTTACTTCAGTTGGTTCAACAACAAACAAAGAACCAAAAATTATCTAGTCAATCAAAACGTTTTAACGAGGTATAGAAGTATAGATTTAGAAAGGTATAGATTAGAAAGGTATAGAGGTATAGATTTAGAAAAGAGTATAGCCATGACATTGAGCCATTCTATCAGACTGAGAATTTGTCATTTATATTTAGTTCTTTCATAGTGAGCTACGAATACACAGTAAAATAATTTCCGTGTATCTTAACGCCGAAGTTCGCGGTAATTACTGTATACCAATTTTCTATTACACTACTTGGTGTAAAGTAGCCGTCACCATTTTTTTTGCATATAGTACACTAAAAATTATAAATATGGTAAATGATACATATAAGTAAATTTATTTTTACAATAAAATATAAACTAAGAACTATTAATTTAAAATAATAAAACGTAATTCATAAAAAGAATTTTTTATCTAACTTCGTGTAGCATACGGAGAACATAATGACGAATTCAAACAATGCTTAACAGAAAGGAAGTTGAGAGATATTATACATAATAAAATCATTTAATACAGTTCACAGAGATTTAAAAAATAAAATATAAGTATCCTTTTTACACAACTAAAAGCATGCGTAACCATTTTAATGGCGAACAACAGATCAATTAATCAAATTACAATTATTCACAAACAAGAACAAATTTTCGTTTGCACTCGTAACTTCTGGCAAAAGAAAAAAGCTTGCCAGCAAATCGGGGTTTTCTGAAGGGAAATTATTTTCGTTTTGTTAGAATGAAGAAGAATTTGGTGTCAGTTTATTCTATTAGATGTTTAAATCACATCTTTTAAGTTGTATTCAAACGCCTGATTCGGTGTTTAACCAGAATAAAGAAATTATTCTAAAAAGTTTTTTGGGTTGTTCATATTCGGAAGGATATTAAAGCATAGTTTTTACAGAGTACTTAAGTTTGTTCAGCAACAAAAAATAAACCAAAAACTGCTTAAGCAACATTTTTGCAAACAAAACATTTTAACGAAGTAAGGAAATTTGAAGAATGCAGTGATAGAAGGTCTTAAGAGATATTTTTCTGAATTGAATACTCAGTAATATAACACATAGCATTAAAACCTCTCAACAGACTAAGAATTTGTCATTAGCACTTATTTTGTCTTTAGCACGTATTTTCGGCGGAAATTAAATGTGCGAAATTGCATAAATTTGCTAACCAAAAGGGAACAAGAAAATTGATGAATCAGAAATTATTTGTGCAATATTTTAGCATTCAAAACTTTTTAGCAATCTATGGATATTAAGAAATTAGGGGACGGAGGTCCTGGGTGACATTTTAGTGAATAGAAGGACATCAGCTTTAAAAAATGTTATAGCAGCAATAGTAGGCTGTTAACATATATATAAATATANAAAGCAGATGCGGCTAATGAAGTGCTACCTATTCCGATCATCATTATAAGGCTACTTAATGCTTTTCTACACTTTGTAAAAGTTATAAACATATTAACGGTAGCAAATGGTGCTAATCCTAAGAAACAGAAAGAATTAAATTTACAGAAAAAACAAAAAACAATTTTTTGCGCTTTTTAAAGTAATCATATTAAACGGTTTATATATATATATATATATATATAAACCGTTTAATATGATTACTTTAAAAAGCGCAAAAAATTGTTTTTTGTTTTTTCTGTAAATTTAATTCTTTCTGTTTCTTAGGATTAGCACCATTTGCTACCGTTAATATGTTTATAACTTTTACAAAGTGTAGAAAAGCATTAAGTAGCCTTATAATGATGATCGGAATAGGTAGCACTTCATTAGCCGCATCTGCTTTGATTAATTTACCCTTGGATATGTCACCTGATTTTGCAGGTATGTTTCATTTTCCTAAACATGTGTAATTTGTGTATATATTTCCCTTATGTGGCACCATAAACTCGGGTATTTCTCTATCTCTTGGCAACACTATAGTTATCATTCATTTTATTAGGTTGTCTCAAGTAATAATTTAAATACTGTTAAATAGCTTGTTATACGTTAAGTATTTATTTGAAATAATTATGTATTTTTATAGAAATGAAATGTTAATTACGGCGTAATTATTTAGATTTGTTTTTTATCCTTTCCAAAATGGCTGTAAAAATTTTAAACAACAACAGTTCTTTATTGCAGCATACTATCATTACAATTGTTGGTGACAAGGACATGTATATAATAGTAACGTAAAGATATATATATTACAAAATAATTATAGCTTACAAATAATTATAGCTTACAAAAAGATTTCAGATCGTTCAAAAAGTTCTCGAGATATGGCGAAATACGCAAAAAGTGAAATTAGCATTTAGGGGTCCTAACTTTTTATCGCTTCTCGGACTAAAGTATAGGAACCATGTTTCCCAGATTAGGGTTACTCCTTATATTTTGTGGGTCAGCTGTCCGAATTCGTTGAAAAAAAGGTATGTTTATTCAGAGAAAGTACGTTTTTGTGTCTAATTTCGTAACTTAAAATATTCGAGATCATTGATTTAGTGATAATTATATAATTTATAACTCATTTTACTCAATATGTATGAAATATAGGGTGCATCTGCCGTAGGGTAAGCATTTTATAAAACTCTGAAGTTTGTGTTATTCATTTATATTAAAATAATCATTTTGAATCTATTGCTGCAATAACCTTCTCCAAATATTTTTTCTTTCTTTTCTGCAGGCCTTTTAACTGGCATTATGCACACAGTTGGAGCTCTTACTGGATCTTTTTTACCTTTACTCATGGGATATTTAGAGGAATCTGATGTAAATATTTCGGTTCATATTTACAATAGGAATTGTTCAAATATACTATGTTATGATGCTGGTTTACATTTAATTTAGAAGAACATTTAAAATCACAAATGCTAAATTAATATTTAAAACCTTAACACTGTAAAAACAGTTGTGAACTAACTAACCGAATTTGATGTTGTACAACCCAAAAACTTGTGTGAATGAACACTGTTTTACAAATTAACATCAAATTAAGTTTTAATAAACAACTTAAAGTTCATAGTTTAATCTAAAACTAAAAAGTTAGCTCCAAACTCAATCGCAATTATGCCGAATGTTTAATATTTTCGCCTCCAAAAACACTTATGTTTTCTCATTTTTTAAATTGTTTTAACCTTTACTCATGGATTAATTAGAGGAAACCGATGTAAATATTTTGGCTAATATTTACAATAGGAATAGCTCAAATTTTCAACATTATGGTACAGGTTTAAATTTGCCTCAGAACAACATTTGAAATCAAAAATGGCAAAATAACTGTTAAAAACCTATATACTGTAATAACTGTGGTGCGCAATCTCACCGAATTTAATCTTGAACAACCCCAAAAAATTGTGTGAATGAACCTTGTTTTACAAATTAACATCAAATCGAGTTTTAATAAGCTTAAAGGGCATAGTTAATTTTAAAACACTTTCAATGTAAAAAGTTAATGTCGAACTCACGCGGATTTATGTCGAAGATTGAATATTTTCGCTTTCGAAAACACATATCTTTCACATTTTTTAAAAGGTCTGTAGAATGTTTACAATCAGTCACGAGTTGGCGTGTTGTTGTCTCCGCTAATATACATAAACAGAAAAAGTTGCGTAATAAGGATATTAATATTTTAAATTTTAAGTCCTTATAAACTGTACTAAATAATGTTATGATGAATAATTTCTGTATTCTTAGAACTAAAGAATTAAAGTATCTTTGCACTTTACACTAATGATTTTAACTTCATATCGACTGGTGAAAATTAATTGACTGAGTCTTATGGGCTTGTTATCTTACAGTAATTATACATATTAGTGTTAATGAAGGCGAAAATTAGGGGCAGCTTCTTTCCACCAAGTAGTGCAAAAGAACATTGTTGTTGCTTCACTACGCCATGATCTTATTGCTACACCATACATGTTAAACGTTTGAAAATCACTAATTTTCCATACTTTTAGCTTTTTGTCCATTTGATTATTTACCTTTAACTGTATATTTATTTCTTCAGAATATACTCTTGCAGAATACACACTTCAGGTCCCTTTTCACTCATTATTTAAAAACACATAGTTTCCCACATAACAGACAAAATGTATACGTAACCAACTTCTTTAAAGTTATAATTTCCCTTTTTAACTTCTTTTATTCCATAAGTTGTTAATCATGTATCACACTAAACTTACAATATTTCCTAATTGTTTTGAGCAGATAGGTAATAAAAAAAGATCTAAATTTCAATTTTAAGATTTCCTCCTCACATTCACAAGAGCAAGTGAAAAAAATAGTAGTGAAATTTTAAAATAGTTAAAGACTAAATTTGACATCATCATAATTCTCACAAACAGCTTTAAAAATTTTAAATACATTTTATATGTTATTTTATAAGATAAGTAAATGAGACTGAAATATTGCTTTGCATGGTTTAATTATTTGGATGGTACGTTTCAGATATTTTCATTTTATCGAACCTTACTTTTTCATAGCTAAATAATTAAAAATCTATAATTCAAAATCTATTAGTGAAAGCAAACTCAGTTTACTTCAACCAGCTATATTCATAAAAGATAAAATCCATTTTAAGACTTCCAAAGATATTTGAGCCAGAATTTCTTATCTTTCCTAAAGCATTAAAATGAGCAAAAAAGCCGAATATTATACAATGCGCTATCCTTTTGAGGAGACTCACTACATACATCTTGTTTTTCGCTGCTAACAGTCAAAATAAAATGAGAATTTTTTTTTACAAATAGCTCAGTGAACTTCGCACCGGTGTAGCATTTTTTATTTTATATTCAGACTTAAATCATATACAATTCTTCATCTTCTTCTCATTGGCACGACAGCCCAGGATGGGCCTTGGCCTTCTTAACAAGCCTATGCCAAGACATTCTTACCTTAGCCAAGGTTCTCCAGTTCATTATCTTTAAAACTTCTAGGTTCATTTCAAGGCAGTCTAAAAATCTTAGGTTTGGCCGTCCTCTTTTTCTTGTACCTGTTGGCCTGGCACTGAAAACTTTTTTGGTTGTACTGCTATCCTCCATTCGTATAATGTGGTCTGCCCATTTAGTCCTTTGAATTTTGATAAATTTAATGACATCAGGTTCTTTATATGCTTTGTAAAGTTTAGTGTTTTGTCTTCTAAATCATGTACCGTTTTTACTTATTCCATCAAAAATGCTTCGCAGTATTTTTCTCTCAAATCTAGCTATCATATTTTCATCTCCACGGGTCATTGTCCAGGTCTCACAGATCAAACAATCATGTACAATTCCTGTATTAAAAAAAACTTCTATGATCTAAGCACCACACTGATCTAACAATATTTTATGATCTGACCGAACACTTGTTGATCTTCTGCGAGCTATCCAAAATAATTCTAACCCACGGCAGCAAATTTTAAGGTTCCCTAAAATATGTTAATGAAGAAAAAGAGCTAAATTTGTATTACTTGAAGACAGTTCTATAAAAATATGGAGACTAAGTAAATGAAACTAGTAACATGTCAGCATTTTCTTAATTTAAATATTATTTGTTTCAGGAAGGAATCAAGTACTGGAACAAGGTATTTAATGCTCTAACTTTACTGAGTATTGTTGCTTTGGTTTTATTTCTTGCATTTGGCTCATGCGAGATTCAACATTGGGACAGCAATTGCACTATTCATCCATATCAAGTGAAAAATCTACGTGCGGAGATGGTGGTACCATTAATTTATAAAAAAAGTGGAGACTCAGAAAAAATAATAATTCCTGAAAGCAAAAGAAAGGATTTGTTGGGAACTAAAACTGTGGATAAATCTAAGCTTGCTGATATACTACAATCCCAATCCATGAGGAGGACAACCGAATCTAAACCGTTGAAGGACTATTCATCTGACGATGATACATTAATATAGTGGAGATATAATAGCAGAAATATAAGAGATTCACATAAAAATGCAGCAATTTTTTAATTTTAACCCACTCTTAAGAAACTGGTTGAACTTTTTTCAACTCTTGGAGATCGGCTGTTTATTTAAACTATGTGGTACTTACCATTTATATGTATTTTGTGAATGTTCCCAGTGTAAGTTTTAAAAAAAGTAGCGTGCAGGAAAACTCAGCCTTGTCAAGAAATTATACTAAATCGCTTAATATTTTCAACAAAATATTTTTTTTTTCAAATTTATTTATACTAACGAATTGATCAAATTTTGAAATAAGCACTGGATGAAATTTTCAATTGCTTCTCAAATTACTTCGAGTAAATTCAATTCAATTCAAAATTACATTAAGTAAAAAGTAAAGTACATTTTTAACAAAACTGAGTAATTGTCGAATTTAACAAGTCTAATCTTTTTCTTTTTCTTGATGAAATTTCTTTGTGATTCAAAGCGCATTTTGCCTTTTACATAAATTCTGACGCAGTGTTGACTTAACACCATTACCTTCTTAGACCTAATTATTTCTTAAATTTTATTAATTTATAAAAAATTTAGTTAATTTGTGTAATAAAATTCTGATTGTTTTAGTATCAATAAAATGTTAAATTTTAAAACTGTAAGCTTCTTTCAAAACTTTGTTATCCTCACTTTCAAATTCTTTATTTTAATTTTCGTTCGAAAAAGAAATTTTTTAGAAAGAGGTTTTTCATGATAAGTAAGTCATAATAAGCTTCTATTAAGACAGTAACAACTTTCAGTGTTAACCCTCCGGGAAGTTCTCATTAGCTGTCGTAAAGATAGGACAAGCAGAGGATTCGACTAGGGTCCTAGCACATTATATGTTCTCCATATCCATCATAAGAATGAAGCAAGCAGGGCTTTTTAATAAATTTCATGCTCTCTAGAGCCATCGTAAGGGTTAGGCAATCGGGACATTTATTCAGAGCCCTGAATATCTAAGTCTTAATACACTGCTTGTTCTTCAGAGCCATCATAAGGGTGAGCCAAGCGGGTATTCATCCAGTGCCCTAAATTTCTAGGACTCAATAAACTGCTTGTTCTCCGGGGCTGTCGTAAGAGTGAGATAAGCGGGTATTCATTCAGAGCCCTGAATATCTAAGTCTTAATACACTGCTTGTTCTTCAGAGCCATCATAAGGGTGAGCCAAGCGGGTATTCATCATGTGCCCTAAATTTCTAGGACTTAATATACAGCTTGTTCTCCGGGGCTGTCGTAAGAGTGAGATGAGTAGGCATTAATTCAGAGACCTGAATATCTAAGTCTTAATATACTGCTTGTTCTCCAGAGCCATCGTAAGGGAGTGGTAAGAAGGACATTTATCTGGGGCAATGACTTCTGGTATCTCAAAGGGCCCCACGCCACTGTGATTTGACCTTGTTTCTAAATAGGTAGAACAAAAATTTCAGTTAATTATTTTTAAAACTAATTTATCGCATTAATTTTTTAAACCTTTTTTTATGTGCTGATAATATATAAAAGAATGCAGTAGTATCCTTATTTTTAGGGGTGCCTCACAGAAAAGAATTTTAACATAAATCAACATTTTAGAGATTAGAAACTAAGAACAATACAAACATTTTTAACTGATTATTTGTTCAAATTCCTTTAAATTAAAATTCCTCATTTTTAGATATCACTAATATAGGGTATTTGAAATGTAAAAATTAAACGATTGTATAAAATTTAAAGAAAAATGCTAAGTTGTTCATTTCATTTCTTCGATATTCCTTCCCGATGAAAATTTAAACTTGTTTTACATTATTTAAATTCAACAAAAACTAGTGTTGATTGTTGTTTTATTCTGACCTCTCAAAAATATACATTTTTAGAACTATTAGTCAGATTTTCAGAAATTTTATCTGTCTATCATTTATATATTAATTTGCCATCCCCGATGTATAAGAACTAATTACTTTTATTTTGAACGAGAACTTCTAAAACATACAGTTTTTTTTAAAATAACGAGATCAAAATTGAGGGTCAAATCAAAGACACAAAATGAATAAAAAATGATTGGTTGCAGACGTTACTTGGAGCATCCAGTGAAGGTTTTAATTTCGAAAACAATATTTTTTTTCAATTTCTAATGACAAGGTAGGATACCACAGTAAAGTAAATAAAACAACAAGTTAAGTTCATTATATCCTAAACAAGGGTTAAGGATAAGAACAAAATAATAATAACTGAAGTCATTGCTTACGACAGTCCATGGAACGACAATATCGGGTGATTTCGGAGTTGTAACCAAGAAATGCCCTAGAGCGGCGAAGATTGTCTCCGTTCATGGAATCTCTAAGATCAAAGACGAAGAGATTGGACAAAGATACCAATCCGGTGAAGATGCTCACAGACAGGCAACCACTATTGTCGGAGACTCAGTGTTAGAGTGAGATTTTTCTTTTCTTTCATCATGTCTGATTTGCCCTTCTTTTTTTGCCACCTTATTTTGAAGCATCCTGCACGCAGAGGACATTATTTAAGGGATTGTCTTATGTATTTGATATGGAAAAAAACTGAAATTCTAAAATTATCTCTTATACCAATTACGTATGGTGATATCATATATTTTCAGATTGGTATTTCTGAACTATGTGAGACCCCAGATAAGGCCTGACGACTAACTTGATAAAGTCGACACTGTAGCTTCACCAGATTAAACTTTCAGGCATATACTTATTAGCCTGCCATTCCATTTGGTAGAATGTAGAATATTTCATTAGTGGTCATTGATCTCATTCTATTTTTATTGATATTTTTTGTGTGAAAGGAAAAACACAACTTGAACAATCGTAATCGACCTAAATCTTAATTACATTACATTTGCTTATGGAGATTCGTGTATAAATTATGATCCTAACATAATTCTTCGATTGTTAAAATTAAGTATATTTATTAAAAAAATAATTATTTATTTGTTGTCTTACATTTGTTTTTAAAAGTACACCTTCATTTTATCGAAATTACTGTCTTGTAACATAAAACGACGTTTAAAAGCCGAACTATATATCATGACTACATCAATGTTTTAAAAACATTTCAACTAAAGAAAAAAATCTACGCATTTTTTTAAAAGCACATTAAAATGGGAATGCTTTCAGCCTAACGTATACAGCGCCCCGTTGCGGAAATAAACCTAACTACTTCTTAACTTCTTGATTCTACAATGGAAGTAGAGATAATAATATTTTAATATATTAACGTTATTGATTTTAATTAATATAAAGTCACGCATTCCTCCTATTTAAATAAATCATTGAACAAAAGTAAATAAAAATATAACAGAAAAGTTAAAATTTATTACCGTCGTTGAACAGCTGGCCCAATTTTCTGGTTTACGACGACTAATAACTAGCTCATACTTACTCATCAAAGTAAATGACAAAAAGGAGGGATGACTTGGTGACGAAAAAATGGCAACACAACAATGCCACAAGGCAAAGGAGATCAACACACAGGTACTTGGGCTCTGGCACTCTATAAGATGGATGCACGAGTCTGGGAGCCGCGCGCTTTACGAGTACAATTGTAGTCGAAAAGTGCTCGTAAAGCTTTACGACTACTAATATTCAACTCCGTATCCTTGTAATTTTGAACTTAATCCAGAAGACAAGGGAACTTCTAGATCAAGTATCGGGAGAAATTTGCTTTCGTGGTGGATTTTTTGATAGAACTAACCCGCGTTTGCGTTGTATACAGAGGAAAACCCTGGAAGCCTCCCACAGTTAGCCTTACGGCAAGGGGACTCTAGCCCATGATCTGTCTACCAGTGAGGATATTTAATGCCAGCACTGCGCTCGGTGCAAGCCGGAATCGGAATTCGTAACGAATAGCCATCACTAGGTTTCAAACCCTGTTCACCTCATTGGAAGGCAACGCTCTTTCCCCTGAGCCATCACGGCTCAGAAAAGTTAAATTATAAAATATAGAGAATATAGTCTTCAAACTTCACAGTGTGAACTTACCATTTCCTTTTAATGTTAGAAGCTCCATTGGGAGCAAAGCAAAAAGAAACTTTGAAAATGCGTTATAATGACGTTTCAATGGATTGTAATTGATATCCGTAAATGATTATGTCTATAGAGATACCTAAGTCATATCAATTGAACAATATCAATTGACAATTATCCAGGGCTGACAACAGCTCCATCTTCAGCAAAATATTTTAGAGAGTGGTAAAACATGAGACTTGATTTAATTCTAATAACATAGCTGCCTACATATATGATTTTTGCAAAAGAATTTTCACCATGTGAGTAAAAATGCGAAGTTAATAGGAAATTTTTAAATTTCAAAATCACATCACACATCCACGGCGTTATCACGGTTCTTATGTTTATTTTTTTAATTCTTTACTTCATGGTGGTTATAATCATTTTAAATCAACTTTTTTAAATTCATAATCATATATTAAAGAATAAAGAATAGTTAAAAGAATAAACATATACAATAATCATATATATTAAGAATAATAAATACCACTCGGAAAAAGGTCTCGTAAAGTTGGTAATTATGCAATAACCAAGTAACATATTTCAACCTCTATCTTGCATATCATTGTTGCACGCTTTCATCTTGTTATTTCTTTATTTTATCCTGAAGAACGTATTTAAAAAATCCGGGTTAGCATCACCACAGTAAATTTAATACTAAATGACGTGATAAATCTTTGATTGCTGCAAAACCTAATATTCTCTGTTTTCAAATAAAAAGGAACAGTAAATTATTATTTTCATTTATGTTAACATGTTTTTTTTAGAATTCGATTTTAAAAACTAGATGTAAGGTAAGTAAAATGACTTGTTAATTATATTTCTAACTTAATTACTAAAATTTTGAATTAGAATGAATTAACTATATCAGCTTTTTGAATCTACCACTTCAAGAAACCATTTTAAAAGAATTTTACTTTTCAATTTTGAATAAGTGTCAGCAATACTGAATAAATCTAACGAAATGTGATTGATAATTAAAAGTCAGAGTTTAAAATTGCTGCAATTTAAGATCAAATTTAACTAAATTTATGGATTCTTAATTCGTTTTTGAGACATTTACGGAAAAGACCCTTATGTTACAAACTAACGAAAAGTACGTGTAGAGTTATGTAATATTTGAAGGCAGTTAGATAAGCTACGGATAATATACGTAATTGTTTTTCCAATTTCGAGAAGACATAAAGATTTTCGTCGGTTTATTTTTATTTTTTTATTTTTTTTAAATTAGAAAATTTATGAAAAAGATATTTTAAATTCCGTACATCAAATTTGTATATCAATTAATCTCTGTATATTAAACAACGCACTGTTTCATTGCAGTTAGATTTGGTGTGAACACTGTAATTCTTTCAAAAAATAAGCGTCATTCAAAAATTAAATATAAATATTAAGTTATAAAATTCTCCTAATCGTTATTGCAGTATTAGTCAAAGAAAATAAAACAGAACAAATAAATGATATTTTAAATGATGGGGAAAATTCGACGATGATGCTGTCCTGTTCTCTGATAGAAAAATATTTTTATAACGGATTTGAATTTTTGTTTTCCCATAAACAGAAAGTAATAAATTTCTTAAAAGTCGAAAGTTATTATTGAGAGATGCGCAGAGTATCTTCCTTCCGAATCAGGCCAACAATTGACCTCTAGATTTGTATGAAAAATTTTTTGATGATTTCAGAGCCAACGTTACAAACTTTTACGGTAAATACTTCCATAACCAAGTATTCTCTTTCACGTATCATTTCTTTATGTTAGAAAGTATTTATATTCAAAATTTCAAAGTGATTGAGGAGTGATACATTGGCAACTTTTCTTGAAAGTAGACTTAATAGGTAGAATGAAAAATCATCTAATTGTTTTAGTTAACATAACCTGAATCAAATTTGCAATAAATTGTCGCTCTTTTTTTATGACAGCAGATATTATTCCCCAAAAGATAAATGTTGTAGGGAGAAATATTTTGTGATGAGCAGCCTGACATCGTTTGCTGAGACGAATGGAGCAAAATGATGCTTCATTTTTCCTAAAGAATTTGTTTTGAAGCGTGTCAATAATATTGACAATAGTTGGCATACATTAAACGTGCGTTTTAGCAAAAGAAATACCGGAAATTATGTGTATTTATAAACGTCTAAAATAGAAAATACGGTACATATCCGTTTCGGAAGCCGTGAAAAATCTATTACCACAATAACACCAATATTCGGTTACTATATTAGCAAACTAGGCACCCAAACAATACAAGATTATCTGTTCCGACAATACCAGCATAGTTCCCCTTACAACAATTAATTAAGCATCACTGGCACCAATATCAGTTTGGGGATTGTTTTACGGCTTTCCAAAATGGACAAGTACAGATTCTATGTAAAAAAAATGTCTTGCCTATTCTGAAAGAGTATTTTCTTTTTTCAGCTTTTCTCTTTGTGAAGAACGCGATGGAAAGTAAGAATTTTGCACTATAGTTATAAAACAATAAAAGAGTAAAACATTTGCGTCGTATGACCGGAGGGTCATGGAGGTAAACGCGTTACAATTTCGTGTCCATTGGCATGAATATATGCTATATGGTCCCCAATGCGCACAGGCCACATTTACTTCCCACCAGACAAGTTTATACCTGGAGGCTGAAGTTGGGCGGATTTAAACTGCCATTGTAGATCGAACCGTAGTCCTTTCCAATGTCAAATAAGAGTCTTTAATTGTTAAAACATCATGGCTCAAACAAACTTAAGACTTATAATCGTTTTCGTGTATTTTCCTCAGGCTTGTGATACTTTAAAACATAGCGATATTAAACTTTCCGAAATGTAAATCAACTTGAAATGACAGACAGTTTTAAAAGTTCAAAAAAACATTTGCCACTAGGTGTATCTATTAATTTTAACTTGAAAGATAACAATTTATGTATGATTTGGTTTTATACATCTTACAAAACTTACATTACCAATAATACATTTTTGTGATGTTTTTATACTTTAAGTTTTCACACTTTAATTTGATCTAGAATTACTTACGCAAAAATTAAGAAACTACATTTATTAGTTAAGGTATTGTAAACGCTTTAATTTGAACAAAATTTTCTCCTCAACCTTTATTTTTATGGTGCTCTTTTTGTCTTTTACACTATGTATTTCAGGAAATAGTGGATGATTTAAAAAAAACATCTCTAGAAAAGCTTAAAGAAACAAAAAAATACGCGGCTTACTGCTTAAGAAATTATTTATTCGCTTCAAAGTTTACTCGGTTTGTCAACGAATGTCTCTGTTGAGTATAAAATTGTACAATGTTGTTCCCTGCTCAATACTGGGATGGTCCAAATTAAAATATTTCCACTGGTGTCTGTTAATTTTGTCCTCAGACTCCGTCATGCTGTTGCTGAAAATGGTCGTTAATTTTAAAAAAAATTGTTTTTTTTTCTCTATCCGAAATAGATGTTCATTTTTCGGTCACCCAGTATGATAACGGGCTGTAAATTCGATGTATGATTGAATTTATCTACGTTCTCTGCAAGCTGCGTATGCATTAAATTGCATTGAGATACACTGGTGGACAAAATTAAGACAACATCAGAATTGGACACAGCTTCAATGGGCTAATGTTCTCTTCACCGATGAGTCCAGATTCAGTCTACAACCTTATTCTGGACGTTTATTGATATGCAGGGAACCTGGAACCCGATACCATCCCCATTATCGAAAGGGACCATTATGCTGGTGGAGGACTCATGGTTTGGGCATGGATCATGCAAGATACCCGCACACCGCTCCATGTGTTTGACAATGGTTCCGTGAATGCCCAGAGGTACAGGCAGGAGGTCCTAGAGCCCTGCATGAGTCTTTTCAGGGGCGCTGTTGGCCCAGAGTTCATTTTTATGGACGACAATGCGCGACCACATAGGGCTTTCATGGTTGATGAGTATCTGGAAAGCGAGGATATTCAACGAATGGATTGGCCAGCCAAATCCCCTGACCTGAATCCTATTGAACATGCTTGGGATGCGCTTGGGAGAACTATTGCGATGTGCCAACCTCCCCCCAGAACCATTGTGGAGTTGATTATTGCTCTGGTGGAAGAATAGGAGGGTCTTCCACAAGTCCTCCTTAACTACCTTATTAACAGCATGCATACTCGTTGTGCATGCTGTCTGTCTGTCTGTCAGGGGTGACCATACACCATACTAGAGGCAACACACACTGTACAAGCCTCACTTTTATTGTCATCTTTTATCCTTAAGTTCAGACTACATTGGATTTATTGGCCAGTGAATGACACTTTCATTTTTGCTTAGCATACTTTATAATCATGGAATAAGCTATATCCATACCAAATTTCATTTATTTTTATTCAGTATTTTTTGAGATTTTTGGGAAAATTTATTCCATCTCTTAATTTTGTCCATCGCTGTAGATAGCTTTCAGCAAATATTTTGAAGAAAACAAAAACTACTTATGCCTTGCGCCCACTTACCGCGGCAAGAGTAATGTATCTTGGCCTAAATGTTGCACCAAGATACGAATCTCTTGGATTTCTTAGGTAGTTGGGTAAGAAAATATTTGTTACAGAAAAACATTTTAAATCTAAATTGGGAAATGTGAACATATTTAACAATTATTAAAAAGATTCAGATACCTATTAGAAGAAAGGTTCCTTATAAGGTATATACATAAATAGTAACAATTAACAAGTTAATATAATAAAAATTAACACTGCAGAATAATTCTTTAATTTTAGTGATAGAAGAATTCTTGTCATGTTTATAAAAAGAAAAAAATTTTTTCAAAATATTTTGAATATTTTAAATATCATAATAATATTTTAATTAATTATTTTTAATTTATTAATAATATTTTAATTAATTATTTTTAATTTATCAATAATATTTTAATTAATTATTTTTAATTTATTAATAATATTTTAATTAATTATTTTTATTTTTCTAATTTATTATTTTAAAAAATAAAATAATGAAATTAATATTTTAAATAATGTTTTTCAAATTATTATTTAAAATATTTTTCAAAATACATTGCCCATAATAAGGTCGAAATTTTTTTTCTACATAATAGTATGATAAAACTTGGCTTCACGTTTAAGACACCTAAAGTCTGAGTTTGAATATAGTAAAATACAATTAAGTCAAATACTACTTCCAAAATTTTGACACAGCAATAAAAATTTTTATTTTGTTAAATTTTGTTTCATATTTACGGCTTAAAACTAGAATTATTACATTTATTTTTTTAAACGCATATGTGTCTTCTTTTCTCTTTTTACACATTAGCTAAAGAGACAACTAGTTTAGTTCCAGTAGAACTCGAAGAGGCCTTGGAAGAAGAAGATGAGCACTTAAGTTTTCTAAGAAGTAATATACGAACAGTTATTTTTTTTATTGAACTGATGAGTAGTTTGTATCATAAAATTATAAGCCATATGTTATTGCCGTAAATAAGAAAAACAGCTTTGTTAATTCTAAAAGAAATCTCAAAGCAGTTTTGATAATTAAACCGGAAAAAAACGCGAAGAAAATTAAGAAAAACAATAAGTTTCATTTATTGATATATTTTGCTTTGGCTATATTGATACAATGTTAGAAAGCACACTTTTTTTCGGATATAATCGTGTGGGATGATAAAAAGATTATATCCGGTAAGATATAATCTTTTAATAAAGATAAGATAAGATAAAGATAAAGATATATATTTTGCGGATTTTTAAAAAAAAATTTATCCTTTTTTTCTGGATTATTTTTCTCCCCAGTTGTTTGTTATTTTTGTTATTATTATTTTTCTCGCCCCCCCTTTTTTCATATGTCTTTAAATTTCCTTTGCTTTGTCTTCATCTATTTAATACCCTATATTTTAATTAATATATATATATATATATATATATTAATTAAAATATAGGGTATCAAATAACCCCAACAACTAACAAGTTTACTTTATGGAATCGCACAAAGAAGACTAACATTATAACATTAATATTAATAAAATATATTAATGTTAACATTAATAAACATAACAACATTATAAACATTAATAAAATATATTTTCTTCCCATTAAAATATCCTCCTACTGTTTCTTAGAAGCATTATTAGATTCGGCGCAAGAATTTTACAAGAATTAAAATCAAGGATTATAAATAGCCCCCACAACTAACACATTTGCTTCATGGAATCGCGCGTAGAAAAAATTAATATAAATAAATAAGTTTGTTTTCCTATTTAAATATCTTTCTGCTGTTTTCTTAGAAGCAAATTTAGATTCAGTTCATGGATATTACCTGTTCCGTTTCTTAGAAGTATTGACTGTTTTTTTTTCTTACCGCGTGAATTTTAATTAGAAATTTCGCGAAATTCTCAGTTCGCCTCTTCGCATTAAGAATTGATCACAGAATAAAAGTTTTTCTCTGGAACGCAGAAAATTCCTTGGCCATTTCGAAAAATATGGTAACTGTCTAAAAACAATAGCATGGTTAACTGACTGAAATTTTATTTAACGCTAAAATGATTACTTGTACTCTTCTATAGTGCATTATAATTGTACTACTTGTACTCTTACAATGTTCTCTTCGATATGTTTGATACTTTACTATACTTTACTACTATACTTTAAACATTTTAAAATGCAGTTGAACTTTTTTTACTAATTTTTTTATATATTGAAACCTAGCAAAATCTGTAGATTCTGTTTCCATATGCTCTTAATCTAATACATATAATTCTCTTACGCTGCTCCCAAATTTTGGCTGTATTTCTTTTCTGCCGGTGGCAACGTTTGCTTTGTTTTGTTTACGCTACTATTTCTCTTACACGGCTACAAAAAAAGCCTCATTACTACTCCCCGAATGGCAACGCTAGAAAATCGACCAATGACTGCCGCTAAAAATGTCACATGCCGAATCTAGCTGAGGTGGCTCAACATATAGCGCTTTTAAAAACGGAAACTGAAATAACCAGAGAGCATCAGCTGTGGCAATCTCATACTATTAAGCTAGGCAGAAGTGAGTAGTCTTTGTCGATAGATCTCTATTTTAGTATTTTGTCGAAAGCGCTTTTTTTTCACGAATTTATTTGACGATTTCTGATTTATATCACGAATTATACTATAGCTCATTTCTAATAGATTTAACGAATTGCATGTCATTTATTTGAATGACTTAGTATTTACTAAAAAGATTTTTTTTTTTTTTAAAAAAAAGTTTTTATATGGATTTGAATGATTGTTTTGAATTCTTAGAATTTTGTGCATTTGCAATGTACCTAAGCTAGTAGCGAGCGAAGCGAGCTTGGTTTGCGAAGCAAACCATAATAGATTGCGTAACAATTTTCGGGGGTTGGCGAGAGCTAGCGAGCAGGGGGAGCAGCCCACTAGTAAGTCTCTAATATTTCCAGCGGTGCCCGGAGGCGTATTGACAACGTGGCGATTGCATGTGGAATTGGCGATGGATTACGTGTAAATGTGGTGGGAGAACGAAATTACATTAACCTAAACAGTGTAATTCGATATTCTTTTTCTCCCCCCCCCTCCTCGACTAGCCATGATGAATAAAAATAACTCATTAATTCTTTTTAGAAGAGAATTAAAAAAGAAAATGACCTTTTTACTGTCAGGATCACTTTACAAATATACTGTATTCATATTTTATTGAACGCGTCTAATTTATATTTTATAAAACGATCTAGTTTTTTGATATAACAGATTCAATTTTTTTACAAGAATTGTGTTTGCGAAGAAATAAAAATAATTTACTACTACTGAACCAATCACAAAAAATAACATAACATTTTAATGCTATGTTTTATTGAAACGCTATTTTGAAGAATTAATTCTATTTAACTTTTATTGTAAGAAAACATAACCTGTTTTATTTTAGTGATATTTTCTATTAAATCAATATTCTCTATAAAAGAATAATGTAAGCTTTTTTATAAAGATT